TCTTTCAGACATTAAAGACTGTTTATGCTAAAAATACAAATCATCTTGAGGTGTCGTGAATTAATGCTAAATGAATAAAACTGGAATGAAATGAACTGAACCGGTTAAGAACGGAGGTGAATATGCTGCATGAGGGATCACAAAGCCTGAAAAAAAAAAACAGGGTTAAACTAAATAATTTTTTTATTCCACGAATTTCCAGATATTTAAATTAATTAAATTTACTTTCATTTATTGTATAGTTTTATAAATTTTGTAAGGGATTAATAAAATGCTGCAAATAGCCTATGTTCGTGGCTGGTAACATTTATCATGCCTAAAACTAATATATATAATATATTGGTACATGCAATCAAATGTACTGGGCCACCCACACATTACACCTACAGGCCATGCACGAAGCTTCCATCAAACAGTTTCTGTGCTGATGTTAATGCAGTGGAGGTTTAGAACTTCTTCAGTAACCCTGGCTATTTTTATAAGCTCTGCCCTCAGCACCAACTCTATGGTCTGCCACTTTGTGACTGAGAAGCTTCCACTTTGCAGTAATATCACTCACAGTTGATTGTGGAATATCTAAGAGGGTTGGAAATTTTGTAAAGACACTTTCCTGTTATTGCAGTGAGCTTTTCAAAACGACCCATTCTTTCACAAACATTTATAAAGGCAAACTGCATGGCTCAGGGCCTGACTCTATAGGAAACGCCTGTGGCACTGGGACTGATACACCGAAATCCAAAGATGAACAGGTGTAGATCGATACTTTTGAACATTAATGTATGTCATACTAATGTTAATCTTGGAAGTAAATAAATAACTATTACCGAGTTGTTGTTTTTTTAATCGTTCATTTCCTTCGGATATTCGGCACATCAGCAACTGCTCGATTCACACTATACCTACAGTTGACCGTGCAAATCGTAACAATAATAAGGATTAGGATGATAAGGATGGTCAATTTTGACACAATGCTCCTTTAAATGTGAGACCACCTGCTCCTCTGGCGTCAGCATCATCCGCAGGCGGCACGGTGGGGATCGATACGGCAGTGAAATGTTCAAAGTGGGATATTTTTGGAAGACCTCAGCAGGCACCGGAGGAGAGACACCGTCACCGAGCTGACTGGCTCGACGAGAGACGAGTACACAACCCGGTAATAGTCAAGGTAAGTCCCGTCAGCACCTGCAGATGTTCATTTATGGTTCATTGTGTAGGGCAGTGCGCAGAGAAAAACAGGGCGTTGTGTCTTTGGCGTGTAATATATGCAAAATTTAGCCTGTTGCGACGGGCCAGTGTGTGAAAGCTGTTACATGTTAAGGCAAGAACAGGCTGTACAGGGTCGGTGCAGGAGCCATGACAAGAAAAAAAAGAAAGAAATGAAGAAAGGGAGAATCAGCACATGGAGATGATGGCATGGTGTAAACCAGTAAATATCAGCTATGATCAGAGTAGCTGTAAATCACATCTACATCATAAGAGTTTTTAGAGTATTTAGATGCCTTAAGATTAGGCCACCCTGCAGATCTGCAGCTAGCAGTCAGCTCAGCAGCATAATTAAGATCACTGGTATTCAGTACAAGTGAAGGATTGAAATTGTTATTGTTTTAGTAAACAGGCTGATTTGTTTGTTCACTGCTGACGCCAAACAGCTGTGATCTGGTTTTAAGACAGAGGCGAGCGGTCAGGGATCCCTGACCGATCCCAGTCTTCTTCTCTGACTGTGAGGTTGCGTCTTGGGGGAAAAAAAAGTCTTTCGGCGAATCATGTGATCCAGAAAATATTTTGTCATAGACTCTTGTACAAGAGATGAGAGTAAGGGCTGCTTGTTGCCATGGAGCCGCTGACCTTGTTGCCGTGGCAACAGCCGGCAACACTATGCCACGACTTGTGTGTTTGTGCGTGTGCCAGAATGTAGCTGCAGTCACTAAAAAGGCATATTTTCACTTTTATTTTAGGTTATTTTATCAACTATGCAGCATATTTACAATTTTGATGTGTTACAGGGACTTGAGACACAACTGAAGCCACACAGTTTTTTTCATCAAAGATATCCTGAGAGGTAAATACTCGAATAAATGTTAGCTTGGTTACACTTTGCTGATTGGATGCTGAAATCAGAGTAGGTAAGTAAGGCAACAAAGCATGGGGTAGTGGACCCTTAGGCCCAGGTGCTAGATACCTGTCCAGACTGGAGGGCTGCATGGGGGACGTGAATGCCACAGTGACCTCCAAACAGCCTTAACTCTAAATCTCTACACTCTGGTCCCTCGATCGGCAGCAGGAAGTAAAAACTGCGGCCCTCTTGAAGAAGGTTCTGTTTCATCACAAATGTGTCACCATCTGTAGCATTAACCAAGAGTGAGATTCTGCTAAGCTGACAGTTGACTACACCCTGGGTGATGTGTAAATGTGTGTATTTCTATTCATGTGTGAAGCAGCTTGGCTGTTAATCATCAACCTCAGTGAGGACGGTGAACGACACATCTCTGTCCCGTGTGGCTGTAACTCTTAGTGTGGTGTGTTTCTGGGTTGATCACATTTAGTGGACGTCATTCCTCCTCTCACTATTTCATGTTTACAGTTCTCACTGACTAATAGATCAGTTATTAAACTCCCCTTTTTTCTATTGTTTTTGGGCACATTTATCACAGCTTCTAAAGAGACCATCCATTAAAATCTCTGATTCATCCTACTAATGGGTTTGACTGTTTTTCTTTTTTATTCACAAATGCCTTATGTGAATGTTTTGTTTTTTTTTTGTCTTTTTTTAATCACAGGTAGTCCCATGGAATCTCAACTGCTGGAGGACAGCTTTACCTCTGAACCACAGGCATAGCCGGAAATGTTCACCTTTTCTGATCTCATATCCCTGAATAATCGCTGCTATGGCTTTTTGTAATGAAAGCTTCATGGAGGAGTGTAACTGCATGGACCCGAACAGCGTAGAGGAAACGTCAGAAAGCCTCCCATCAGAAGCTACGACTCCTCTCATATCAGTCACTCTCCGTGTGACCCTGGCAGCCATAATGATCTTTATGATTACTATCGGTTTCCTCGGCAATGCGATCGTGTGTCTGATTGTTTACCAGAAACCTGCCATGCGTTCTGCTATCAATCTCCTGCTTGCCACTTTGGCCTTTTCAGACATCATGCTCTCTCTGCTCTGCATGCCCTTCACTGCAGTCACCGTGGCCACTGCAGACTGGAGCTTTGGGAGCGGTTTCTGCCGCGCCTCCATCATGCTGTACTGGCTGTTCGTCCTGGAGGGGGTGTCCATCCTCCTCATTATCAGCGTGGACCGTTTCCTGATCATTGTGCAGCGGCAGGACAAACTGACCCCACACAGAGCTAAACTGCTGATCGCAGGTTCTTGGGTGCTGAGCCTGTGTGTGTCCCTGCCGTCAGTGGTTGGGTGGAGGGCGGGCGCGGCAGGTATCGGGGGCGCCTGGGCACCGCAGTGCGTGCTGGGATACAGCGAGTCCCTGGCAGACCGTGGATACACAGTCCTGTTGGCTGTAGCGGTTTTCTTTGTGCCATTTACTGTCATGCTGTACTCTTACATGTGCATCCTCAACACGGTGCGCCGCAACACCCTGCGCATCCACAACCACACCACCGAGCATTCCTGTCTGCCAGCCCTAAATCAAGTCAGCAAAATGAGACTTACCGGACTGCAGCGGCCGCCTCAGGTCAAGGTGGACATGAGCTTCAAAACCCGAGCCTTCACCACCATCCTCATCCTCTTTGTTGGTTTCTCAGTGTGCTGGCTCCCTCACACCATCGTCAGCCTGCTGGCCGTGTTCAGCCGGCAGTTCTACTACAGCTCAGTCTTCTACCCCATCAGCATAGGCGCTCTGTGGCTCAGCTACCTGAAGACGGTCTTCAACCCCGTCATCTACTGCTGGAGGATCAGGAAGTTCAGGGAGGCCTGTCAGGAGTTCATTCCGAAAAGCTGCAGACTGTGTCCCAGAGTGCCGGGCAGGAGCCACAGAAGAGTGAGGCCCAGCAATATCTATGTTTGCAGTGAGACGCAGTCAGCTGTGTGACACAGGGAGGAAACCCAATGCAGTCTAATGTTTTTAACTTTTTGATAAGCTATGGGATTTTACTGAAGTTCCCTTTAAAGTACTACAGTTCTTGTGAACAAAAACATGTTACCACAAGAACAAATTGGTTTTAACTTTATTGAAACTGGAGCATTTATAGTCCCATGACTCCCTCCTTTTGGGGAAGGTCATGTGAAAATCACAATTGCTGACAACTGAACTGATCTGGTGGTGACAATCATCTGTCTGCTGTTTTAATAAATAAAGTCAAAGTGTTCATTCAGCTTCATGGCCACGCAAGCTTCTGAAACATACTGACATTTAAAAAAACATTTTTATATCTTCCATTTTTGCTTTATTTTTCTGTTTCCTGTGCTGTCCCTGAGCTGTCATTTTGTTGTTTCATTAGTCTGAAGCTGTACCGTTGATAATAATTATGTTGTCAGTTATGTGCTAAGATTCAGAAAAACAAAAACAAATTACAGTATTGATGTTTGGTGATGTTCTCAGATGAAAGTCAGACCACTGTTAAAAAGTGTTTGATGAAATTTGTGTAGAAACACAGCCCTCTGTCAGCTGGTTCATGAGTCTTAATGTTTTTGTTATAGAGGAATGAGTGTTAACTGCATTATCATGTCACATAAGATATGTAAATAAATATAGTTTTGGATTAAAGTTTCTTTGACTCTCTTCCTCTCTAACGATAAAACATGTAGAACGAGTAAGCTCATTACATTAAAAGAGCAAGCCCTGCACAAGGGCATTATTTTTAAAGGGCCACGACAGTGGTATCGTTTTTTTTATGTCGTCCCTGTGTCCCACCCCAGTGGATTACGCAAGTCAAGTGCAGATTTTCAGCTTGACTGCTGATGGAGGTAGCAGGATTAATTGCGAAGTAAACAGAACTATTCTCTCTGCTGCAAAACTTATCATACAGATCAAATGCATAATGAACCAAAGCATACTGCAATCCAAATGTTTCCCATGGCAAAGAAATAGGATATTCTTTAAGTCAGTCAACTGATCTCAACCTCCCAGAGCATGCTTTAGGATTATGAAATGCAAGAAAAGTATTTTCATCCAAGAATTAAAAATAAGATCCACATGAGCCAAAAACAAAAACAGAACCAAACAAACCCAAAAAATAATGATGCTCATCAAGGTTATTATTGTTAACTAACACTAGACTAAAACTAGATATGAAAAAAATTAACTAAAATAAAAATAAGAAATAGACTTTTGAAAGTAATAAAACTAACTGAAATGAAATAAAATTATAGAGGAAAATAACCACGACTAAAAAATACATACCAAATATGTAAACGGTTTTAAGTGTCTAAAGCCAGTAGGAGGCAGTAATATTCCTGTAATCTCAAGGATGCAAACTGTCGTATACCTCCAACAGCGAAGAAGAAAAGCAAACATGGCGACTTCCACGGGGCAAAATGGAAAGGCTGCTGGTACTTCCGATGCGGATCTCTTGCTTCACCCTGAGTTGTTGTCTCAGGACTTTATGAGGCTAGTTTTAAATGAGGTAAGTCGGTGTTTTAAAAGGAACTCTAGAAATGTGATTTGATGCGAGAATAAATGAAGAATGCGGAAATGTTAGCATGCAAGCTAACAAGCAGGACACCTCTCTGGTTACTGTTTAAGTACACTCAACTCGCGGCGCTGCTTGTGATTTTTAAAGTGGAGATATTTTTCTCTGAATCAGAAAAACGTGAGTACCAGAGACTGTGGGAGCAGGGACCAGCTCACAGAGCTCTACCTGCGGCATATCATCCCTCTGCCGCAGAGGACTTTACCCAACACCCGCTGGGGACGGAGGATGGAGAAGAGCCGAGGGAAGCAAACGCCGGTAGCTCACCGGTCAGACAAGTATGGGTCCACAGCTTCAGATATTTAGTACTTTCATGTGCAGTTTTAGGCTGTCTGCATATAAATAATTTGACTATGATGTTAGAATTTGGACCAAATAATTTGCCCAGTTCTATGAAAGGCGAAAGGAATGCGTTATTACTGTAATTTCACTGATCAGTCAACAGACGTAACAACTCTGTGAAAGGCCCCTGGACAAATACACTATATTGCTAAAAGTACTTGCTCATCTGGCTTCACACATATATGAACTTAAGTGACATCCCATTCTTAAATCACTGGTTTTGATATGATGTTGGTGCACTTTTTTCAGCTTTAACAGTTTCTGTCCTGGTTGGAAGTCTTTCAGCAAGCTATAGGAATAAAAATGCATGTAAAACAACATATTCAAAAGTTTGTGAAACGGAAACAGTAACTTTTATCCATGGAATATATATCAGTATCTGGAAAACATGTACAGACACAGTCCAGGTGTAAATGTGGCAAAACAAAAGAAAACTGTAGCCTGTAATGTTAAAATAAGATTAATGCATTTCAGAAACTGATTAATATGTTTTTTCAGCTCCAGCAGTGACCACAGTAGAAAGAGGCCTCTGATTGTGTACGATGGGAGCTCCTCTCACTCTGGCCCACTGAAAGTGAAGAAACCAGAGGGAAGTATAGTGTCAATAGGAAGCAACGACAGGTTAAAACCTCCACCAGCAGCAAATCTTTCCAACCCCATCCGCAAACTCTCAGGCAACACATCTTCCTCTCCATCCAGTCAGCGCAGCAGTGACACAAAAAACCTCAAACGAGAAGCAAATACGTCGGTAGGAACTTCTCTCCTCAGTTATTCATGCACAAAGAAAGTAATCCACAAGTGTTCATATTGTTTGTGTGTTTGGAGATATTCTAAAGAATCTGTAAGGACATTTATAATAAAAAATCATTTTATTCTTAAAAAAAGAAAAATATGCAGTTCATAATGCCTGTTTATGTTTTATCCTTCATCGTTTTAGGGGGCACTGAAGTCTCCGGAAGTGAAGAACAAGATCCAGCGTGTGACTTGGCCCTGATCTTTGGCCTCTTTTTCATACAGACCTGATGGGACCTCAAGGTCCGGCAGACAGACCACACCTTTCCCTGTCCGTAACCTGTGGTTGCCCACTACCTTAGGTGTCCCATCACAATTTTCCCAACTCATTTATCCACAGAAAGAGGTGGAAACCCTTCTAGCTGTGGGTCAAAGCTGCTTAACTGTTGCCATTCAGTTATAAGAGCTTACAAACTGGGATGAAGTCACGAGCTTCCTTGATGTTTTCCAAAACCTCAAGTGCCCTTACCAGCATTAATCAGCAACTTGCATTAAGTCCCATCCAAAATGAGTGAGGTGAATTATTGCTCTTTTTATTCTGTTGCTGGTTTAGGTTAAAAGGCCCCGGGGTGATGAATGATGGCTGCGATGGCTGTGTTCTCAACTGGATGCTAAAGGATCTTATAACGTGATAACAATGGAAGTAAGCAAGAGGCAATGCAGACATGTTATAAGACAGATCTGTTTCTTTGGTGTATTGCAAATGAATATAGACAGATCATGGTGAGCATCACATTTTAGAAGTTGTGTGATCAATGACTTTTTATCATTTCTGTTATGAATTCAACTGAGATTTGCATTTGTTGAGCACTACATAAGTTTTCCAGGATTTTGAAATGTCACTCTGGTGTGAGATTTTACATATGCTGCACATAACGATGGGATAAATAAAAACAATATTGAACTTTATTATTAGTAGACCAGTAATTACTTGTTTATAAAAAGAGCATCACAGAGAGGCCGAGTCTTTCAAAAGGACCACTTTTGTAAATACTGTTCCAAACATTTTAGGATGTTGTGCAAAAATGTAAATAAAAACAGAATGCAATGATTTGAAAATCTCATAAACCCATATTTTATTCACAACAACATAACAACATATTGAAAACATATCACATGTTTGACCAGGCAGCGTGCCATTTTAAGAAGAAAATGAAGTCATCATGAATTGGATGGCCTTAACACATTTCAAAAAGTTGGGGCAGGGCCACATTTACCACTGTGTAGCATCACCTCTTCTTTTAACAACAGTCCGTAAACACCTGGAAACTGAGGAGACCAGCTGCTGGACGTTTTGGGAGCGGACTTGTCCTGTTCGTGTCTGATAGAAGATTCTAGCTGTTCAACAGTCTTGGATCATCTTTGTTGTGTTTTTCGTTTTATGATGTGCCACATTTTCTGTTCTTGTTTTCATAACATCAAAAATGCAGACTTTTGAGCACATGGATGAAGCTGGATGGTCCCTCTCCTCTTTAATCCAGATGATATAGCATCCATGTTTTCCGCCCCCAGAAATTCAAATTTCAGCTCGTCTGACTGGAGAACAGTTTGCACTTTTCTTGGCAGTTATAAATGAGCCTTGGCACAGAGGTGACAGCTGTGTCTCTGGATCATTTTGACATATGGCTTTTATTTTATTTTTTTAAAGGTTAAGCATTAACCTGCACTTGTGGAGGCCACAATGAACTGTGTTCACAGACAGTTATTTCTGAAAGTCTTCCTGAGCTTGTGCAGTGATCTGTGACAGAATCCTGCCTGTTTTCAGTGCAGTGCTGCTCGAGGGCGCGAAGATCACAGGCATCTAATACTGAGTTTTCACCTTATTTGTGTGCACAGAGATTTTCTGAATATTCTGCTGATATTATGTACAGAGATAACGAGAAACTCTTCTCAATTTTACATTTAAGACCATTACTCTAAAATAGATTGATGCAAAATTTGTGAACACAATTCTTTGCAGAGTGGTGAACCTGTGCACAGCTTTACTTCTGAGAAGTTCTGCCTCTCTATGATGCTCCTTTTTTTAATACCAGCTCATGTCACGATCTGTTACCAATTAACCCAATTAGCTGCAAACTAGTTCCAGTTGTATTTTTTAGTATGAGCTATTTTTCCAGCCATTTGTTGCCCTATCACATGTCGCTGCCATTAAATTTGAATTAAGCAAATATTTTTTATGAAATAATAGAATGTCTCAGTTTAAACATTTGATGTTTTCTATGTTTCATTGTGAATAAATTATGGTTTAATTAAATTTCATAAAATTTGCAAATCGTTTCAGTCTGTTTTTATATTTTTTTGGAATTGGGGGTGTTTTTTTTTTGTTTTTTTTCTTCTCTTTATGAACAAATTAACACAAATTATTTAAACCAAAAATACAAGTTAAACAACACTATGCAAAGTTTTAAAAAAAAAACAAGAAACAATGGATTAAAGTGAAATGAAATGCTCTCCTGTGACAAGAAAAATGTAAATTTGAAGTCATACGGTATTTGAAAATCGTGTGGTAGGGGGACGGCCTGGCTTACTGACACCAAGAGCAAAGGCAGCAACTGTGCTGGCATAGGCTTACGTTAGTGAACATAGACTGAGCAACATCTGTAAAGGCATCAATAATGCTAAACAATACAGCATCACAGACTTGCATCCAGAAGACTTTTCTGTGGAGGCCTCTTGCGTATTTTAGCCAACATTGCTAAGCCAACAGTGTAGCTTAGTAGGAAAAACGTCCAAAAATATGACCAAAGAAGCCCTGAAATCTCAACCCAAGCAAGACTTTGAGAACTACAAGAATTTACCTCCTCATTTTCCAAACACTTACCTGTGATGAGCAACACAGTGTTAAACATACCACTTAAAAACACAACAACCTGTTTTTCAATCGTTGATATGTCTTGCAAATTGTATTAACATTTTACAGTTTTCCAACTTTTCAGAAACCGGGTTGCAATTGAATACCAGTTTTTAATAATTCAGACACATAAAACGAGCTTGGGCAAAACCAAGAATGCAGAACTTTTGAAATCTATTTACTGGAGAAAAGGAGAATTGACTTTGCAGTTACTGATGTGGAGTTCATTAAAACACACCGGAAAATGTGCTTTGAATCAGTGTTTGTACAAAAGTGTTATAAAAAAATGAATTGAAAAATGAAAAATAAGGATGTTTATTGATTTAATTATGTAAGAAATTTTACGGGCTTTATGTGTCATGTTTGACATGGTGTTCAACTGGACATTAGAGTAAAACTGAATGAAATGATAAAAATCTTCCACCGAGCGATCTGTAGTGCTTTTCTAGAACATTTTTAATCTTTTCTTTTTGTAAGTTACCAATAAAAACATTTTGACTTTGCCATTTTTAATCTTTTTTTTCTTTTTTTTTGTGTTTTGTTTAGAAATCCTGAAATCATCTTATTTCATGCAAAATTTATTTATTTATATTTTTCATCTTTCATGCAATGTATTCATATTTATTCCTTTATACGAATAAATATGCATTTTTAATATTTAAGTGGTTAAACGTCACAAAAACTCGAATTACATGCACAAAGCAGTAATTACTATTATTCTGCAAAGCTGATAGTGTGCAGTAATATTGTAGATTTTCCTCAGAATCCTTCCTACAGTATCTACTTGGAAACATTTTCTCTTCATGAGCACAATACAGCAGATTCATGCCTACATTTATTGATTAGTAATTACTTTTTCTTTCCTCAAATAGTGAACATTTAACTTAAACGAACTCTCTTATCTCAAAGAACACTGTTAGTAGCTTGTATTTCATTTACATTCATAGTATTGCTTTGTAGTAACAATGTTATAGATGTCATGCACTGTGCTCAAATAGAATTGATCAACTCTGCATCGTTCCCTGATCATAACGCGGTCATCCCGTCAGATGTAACGGTCATCACTCGGGCTGAATTAGATGTCTTTGCCGCACTCTGGGCACAGGATATCGTCGCGTTCGGTGAGAAAGCCACGGCCAACCAGGGACACGGAGCACTTCTTACAGTTGAAGCAGTCATTGTGCCACTGACGCTCCTCAAAGGAGATATACTTGCTGCCCCCAAGACCTGAGAATATCAAGTTGAAGTCAATACAACTGACAAACCTGTTATAAATGAGCCTTATTAGGTTCTGTTGACCCAGTGATTAAAGATTACCGCTAATGGGGGTGGTGCACGAGGCACACTTCTTAGCATAAAGGTTGCAGAAGCAGTTGAGGCAGTAGGCAAAGTCGTCTCTGGAGGTAAACCTCTGTCCAGACAGCTGCTGCTTGCAGCTAGTGCAAAGGAAGCAGTCCTTGTGCCAGGGCTGGTCACGGTAGGTCACCCCGCCAGTGGTGATGGGCTATTTAGAGGGAAATGGGTTACTGCCACACTTTAGTGCCGTTACACATGCAACAATAACATGTAGTGTGAAAATGGAGACTAATGGAGAGCTACTTTGAAAGTACATTTTACTCGATATCATTGTATGTAGCAGTGGATGTGCTACCTTCTTGCAGTGCACACAATGCATGGCAAACTGCTTCTCATAGCAGGGCACACAGAAGTTCTGGTTGTCCTTGGGGATGAAGCTCTTGGTGCCAATTGGCTGCTGGCATCGCTTGCAGGTGAAACAGGTCTCGTGCCAGCTGTTCCCCTTGTGCTCCATCTTCCTGGAGCCTTCAGAAAATAGTAAGTTTACAACTAATGATTAAATTCAATTTTGGGTCAACATAGTATACATGTTCTAGTACTCCAAAGGCCTAACAAGGTATGGTTTTATTCTATAGTATGTGCCGCATGTCGCTCCATACCAATCACTGCTCAGGTTGAAGTGTATAGGAATAGGATACAAATACTTAGTAATTAGCTGTTACTTTATTTGTACCTATTAAAGTGAAAAGAAAACAGGTTTCTGTAAATGTACTGACAAAATTAACGTGTTTATACCTTATATTATTATAACTGTACTACAGCAATGTGGGAAAACAGGACTAATGGACATGTATCGTGCCCAGCTAATCAAATGAAAAAAAAAAGGAAACCTTCTTGTTCATCCAATGGGAAAATAGCACAAACAATATCAGTACTGTTTCGACTTCTCAATCTAGTTCTATTACTTGGTTTAATTCAATTTTAGCTTTAGTTAAGTTACTCCACATTATCCTCCTCCGGGCTACAGCTCTGTTTTTCCAGCATAGAAAGTCAGCTATAACTCAGCCTACAATAGTAGATTTTATTCTCATTACAACTTTGATATAATATAATCTGCACCAACCAGTCTATATAGTGAGACAGAAGACTTTTTATTTATGCAATGATCCAATTTAAAATTGAGTGACAAATCAAGGTTTTAATTTTTCTAGCTACTCTGCTGATCTATTTCAGTTTTCTTCCTACCTGGCATGATGGTTTTCTTGCACTCATGGCACTTGGAGGAATACTCGTTGGAGTAGCACTCGGTGCAAAGGAGCTGCTCGTCCTTGGTAGAGAAGGGCTTGTCCACCAGGGAGCGCTTGCACTGGAAGCACTTAAAGCATTCCTCATGCCAGTGACGGTCCTTGTAGGAAAGATCCTGTAGAAAGAGCAGTACTCTTGTTCTTGTTCTCTACTTGTTCTTGTATGTATGCATTTCTTCATTTTATATCTCTTACCCTGGTGTTACAGCCAATAGGCTTCTTGCACTCCTCACAGGTGTTGGAGTACAGGCTTTCATAACATTTCACACAGTAGGGATTTTCCTCTCGCAGAACATATTTCTTCCCAAACAGGGACTCTTTGCAGTAGTGGCAGTCGTAGCGTTCTGTCATTTTGACCTAGCACTGCTCAGCCGAGAGAGAAAGAAACAAAAGAGCCTAAGGGTAATATTATATATACAGGATATGAACACTTATATTAAGTACCATAGAAACTTTTGCCATTTTGCTTCCCTGCTCCAATTAATCATTGGAGCGATGCTGGCAATCATCAGAGAGCCATTTCTTAGAAATCAAACTTCAAACAAATAGCGTTTTCTAGGACGCATTAGTAGACCTGTCACTTTACAAGTTGGGGAGTTTTTCCATGCATTTCCCTCTTTCATCTTCCTCTCCCATCTCTCAGGCGTCCTTCATTTTGTGACAGATGAGAAGGTGAGCGATGAGGCGGATATAAATAACTCCTATCAGTCCTGCTTAGAGACAGTCAACTTTTGCTCCGTTGCATACCAACACACACTACGGCACTATACGCCGACCCATTTATCACCTCACCTCCAGCTGTCAGCGCCAGATCACAGTATCCCTTGTCACTGTGTGCGCGCGTCCGTGCATAAGTGGGTTTAAACGACACTCGTAATAATGACTGTTCACAATCTGCAGCTGTTTGTGGTCTGCCTGTTGAGCTCTTGGCTATCCCACCTGTGCCTATACAGCTACTCTTGGTTAAACGAGGATAACATAAGCGATTTATTTGAGTATTTCTTTGTGGGTAACAGAGAAGATGCATGGCAAAAAAAAAAGGGTTGATGAAGTTCCATTCTCCAAGACAGAATTAAATACTACCCAAGCTCTCACCAAATAAAGCAGATCAAGACACAAAAAACCCTGCAAAAAACCCCTCCAGAAACCCCAAGCTTAAATTCATATTTCTGGTTTGAATTGAGCTGCTCTCTGTTGTCATCCCCATAATCTTATTGTTCTTCCCTTTGATCTATTTTTGATCACCGTAGATTCCCACCTAAGTGGTCCGTGAGTGATTTGTGATGCTCCCCACACTCAAAAGGTTAGTTTCTTTTATCTTGCTGAAGCTGAGACGTTTAATCTGCCCGTCCTTTCTGCTCTAAGCATTCTCAGCGCCCTCCCACATTCCCTCATTGTTTATCACTCCCACCATGACTCACCTAGCTTATATAAGGATTTATCTGACTCCTAAAAATAAAAAAGGCTAATCTGAACTGCCGCAAATAAAAGCTCCAGCCATTCAGACATGCCATGCAGCTGTTTCCCAGCTTCTGGGGTCTCTTTGATGCTCCCCATCTGGGAGTCAACCTGAGCTACAGCCAGTTTACAGAAAAGTGAACTATTAAAAGGTTCTTGTGTCTAAACATGGTGTCTTGTAGAGAACTGCTTATTTTACAGTATTTTAATAAGCTCTCTGCATGTATGGCATTATCTGCATGCACTGGAACATTTATATTTGGGTCTAAGAACGTTTAGT